ACAGATTTCGCTGGTTTCAGCGGTTTCCGCGAAACCAGCGATGGATCCCAGCGGTTGGCAGTGCCCGATGATACTGCGAGGGGCTGTTTAGTCCTGCTGCGAATTCTGCTTGACAGTGAAGATTGAAAGACGACTGTTCGTGATTCTACTTGTTTCATGTTCAATGTCTATCAGTTCATTGAAATGCTCATGATTCGGATCGCAAAAATTGCAAGTGCCCCATTTGAACAATTGAAACACTGAATATGAAACAAGTGGAATCATGAGCAGTCGTCATTCAGCCATCACTATCAAGCAGAAGTGGCGGCGGATTGGAGAACACCTTGCAGTATTGATCGGGCACTTGTGATTTCCGTGACCCGTCGCGTGAATCGCGCAAATCGCGAAAATCGCGAAATCAGCGAAACCTGCGACGGATCGCGGACTCTGACACCAGCCTTGTGGCGAGAGATAAAACAATGTACTACCTTTCGAAGCATGTCGAATCGTTACAAAACGTGCCCCACGCTTATAAAAAAACGCCCCATTAACAATGACCCATCGACTCACATAGTAAGTGTCGTCTCCGTCGGCACATACCAAATGATAGTCGCATGGTTTTTGGGAATTCAAACAACACGCCTTTGCCATGCCATTTCCGCAAAGGTAGCTACGAAAAAGAGGACATGGTGAACCGTACTCGCCACTATCACATGAACAAAGTAAAGCGGTCGCCACACGTTGACGCTCTGAACAAGCTTATTTATTGCACTTAACAAAATTACGCACTCGTCGATTTTGGAACTTGCATAAACAACTGTATACGAATATCTTTAAATATCATGTAATTCTGAATATCTGTAGGGGAGGAGGAGGGAGAAAGTGCGATAAATCTTTTCGCCCATGTCATCACGAAACTTTTCGTCGCACAAGGTGCCGCTTTTAATGGAGGTTAAAATACCAAAATATGTCTTCCTCCGATGCCCGCCCCTTCCTAATGAGCAAAAACAAGCCCTCCTTCACTGCTCCCATCGTCTTCAGAAAATGACGTCATCCG